TCGCACTTATTCACAACCTCTGCGTGTCATTGTAACAGCTGAGGGATGTTGGAAACTCTGCAGGAATAGCTCGAAGATTATGTCCGGGTACTGGGCCAGAACATGAATAAAACATTACAGATGTTGGCAGGATTGTCTGAGTGTGCAGCTCAGTTTGAATCCGAGAGCTGGGAGCAGAGTATTGTCTTTTATTCACTTATATCTGCATTCACTTAGCCCGGAGAGTCCAGGGGAAAACTCTCCCCAAAATTAGCCAAAGAAGCTGATTAACATGGCCATGAATTCTCCGTCCAGCCCTGTTTGGCAGAGCTTTGTTGGCAGTGTTCGACTTTGTAAAGTCAGCGTTAATTCAGCACAGATTCAAAGTTCTGTCTGACCGTCATTTCCTCAGCTTCCTCTTCTGCCTTTCTGCTGATTTGTCTAAGAGTCAGGCGATGAGAAGCTGCTCCTTCCTGTCACCATTGCCTTGCCTTCGTCATGGTCTCACAGCCTCTTCTCTCCCCCTCCAGTTCACCACCTCCAATTGCTGTTCCCCGCCCCCAGCCGTTCCCCACTGCACCTTTCAAGACATCAAGAAAGCAAAGTACTTTACAGAATATAAAATATATTTGAGGTGTGGTCTGTGCTTTAGTGTAGAAAAGGAGGCAACCAATTTACACTCCAGATCCTACAGCCAGTAATACGATAACTGATGGACCATCCCTTTTACTGATGTTGGTTGAGGGATTGATGATTTTGAGTTGGGGACTAAGCGTAGTGTGACAAAGTTTGCAGATGTCACTAGAGATGAGTGGTAAAGCAAAGTGTGCAGAGTGCACTGAAAATTTGCAGCGGGATATCGATAGGTTAAGTGAGTAGACAAGGGTCTGGCAGATGAAGTACAATGTTGGTAAATGTATGGTCATCCATTTTGGTAGGAACGACAGCAAAATGGACTGTTACTTAAATGGTTAAAAGTTGCAGCACGCTGCTGTGCAGAGGTACCTTATGCATGAATCACAAAAAGTTGGTTTGCAGGTGCAGCAGGTAGTTAAGAAGGCAAATGGAATATTGTCCTTCCTTGTGAGAGGGATGGAGTTTTAAAACGGGGAGGCTACGTTACAGAGATATAGTAAGAACTGCCGATGCTGGAGTCAGAGATAACACAGTGTGGAGCTGGAGGAACACAGCCGGCCAGGCAGCCTCAGAGGATCCTCTGATACACCCTGGCCTGTTGTGTTCCTCCAGCTCCACACTTTGTTATCTTTATCCGAGGTTATGTTACAGCTGTGTAGGTATTGGTGAGGCCACACCTGGAGTACTGCGTACAGTTTTGGTCTCTTTATTTGAGAAAGGATGTACTGGCACTAGAGGGGGTGCAGAGGAGGTTCATTAAGTTGATTCTGGTGTTGAGAGGGTTGGCTTATGAGGAGATATTAAGTAGACTGGGATTATGCTCATTGGACTTTAGAAGAATGAAGAAGGATCTTCTGGATCTTCTAGAAGCATATAAATTTATGGAGGGAATAGATAAGATAGAAGTAGGGAGGTTGTTCAACTGGCAGGTGGAACTATAATGAGGGGGCATAGCCTCAAAATCAGGGGGAGCAGATGTAGGACTGAGCTGAGGAGGAACTTCTTCACCCAATGGGTTGAGAATCTGTGGAATTCCATGGTCTTATTGAATGGTGGAGCAGGTTCGATGGGCCGAATGGCCTACTCCTGCTCCTGGTTCTTATGTTCTCTGAGCTGACAGTGTGAGACAATGAGCCAGGGCCCAGCTCTATAGCTGAATGCTCATTTTAGGCTGGCATAGACCTGATGGACAGAGAGGCTTTTTTCAGTGCTGTAGACTGCTATGACTCTGTATAAGAACAGAGGATGCAAGAAACATTTAGGAGAGAGAAAAGCAAAGTTAATGTTTCTGATGGAGATAAGTTTTTCATGGGATTGGTTGTGTTGACCCTGTTCCTCCCTGCCTACTGATACTGCCAGACCTGCTGAGTTTCTCCAGCTTTTCCTGTTTTGGTTTAGGTTTTCGCTGTGTTCCTTTGGTAAATGTGAGAGCACGTTGTTGATCTTCGATCTTTGGGTGTGACGATGGCGTGCTAAAAGCAACCAACTTTAACTCGAATGTTTCCGAGTTGCTGTGAGGGACAGAGAAGGCTGTTCTGCTTTTTTTAAAAATTGCTGTGACGGGATGTGGTTGTTGTAGGCTGACCCCAGTTTTTATTGCCTGTCCTGCAGTGTGTGAGAGATACAGGCACATTCCCGCAGAGTGATCACGCCATCATGTGTAGGGCTAAGCTCGATCCCACAAGCTGCACGTGTTACCGGCAATAAAGGTGCTTGTTGTTTAAGGCAGTCAGTTCCCGAAAGGGTTAACGGACCAAATCTAAACATCAGGAATTAAAGGACTGTCCTTTCAGCAGCTAAGACTTGTGCGTTCACCAGAGTTAGAGAGTTCCCAGCTGATTCATAGTATTTTGTTTTATTCATTGATGGGATGAGAGCATCACTGTCATTTATTGCCCATCCCTAATTGCCCCAGAGAGGAGGTTAAGAGTCAAGCACATTGCTGTGGGTCTGGTGTCACATGTAGACCAGACCAGGTAAGGATTGCAACAAAAACAAAGTTGCTGGAAAAGCTCAGCAGGTCTGGCAGCATCTGTGAAGGGAAAAACGGAGTTAACGTTTCGGGTCCGGTGACCCTTCCTCAGAAGGGTCTTCCTGTTCCAGCAACTTGTGTTTTTGTTCCTGATTTACAGCATCTGCAGTTCTTTCGGTTTTTATTTCGTGTAAGGATTGCAGTTTCCTTCCCTAATTTAACAATAATTGGCAATGGTTTCATTAGACTGTTAATTTCAAACTGCTCTGGGAGAATTTGAACCTGGCTGACCAGAACAGTAGTGAAGTTTCTACATTAACAGTCTAGCGATAATACTAGTGGGCCATTACCTGCCCATACAGTTCTCGCTGTTAACAGTATGTAGCTAATAGTGATGAGTATTTACTCTAACATTGAGCCTGATATCTGACTCTCCTGGGTTTTAGATGTATTGTAACTAGCTGCTAAATGATATGAAACAAGCCTTTACTGTATAATCAAGTCTGGCCCATCTGCCTAAGACATTCTGGATATCCTTCCCCACACAGTATCAGGAACTTGGTGAGGAATTTACCTGAGAGATTTCAAGTGGTCCTGGCAGAAACTAACTTTTACAATATGTGTTAGCTTAGAACTTTACAACGCCTCTGAGAAAAGCACTCAGCAAAATTCAGCTGCTCTTTATGAGACAGTGTGAAATAACTGTTTGTTTTTGATTAATGGAGGACAGGCTTGGGTAGAATTCCATTCAAGAGAACAGAGCCATAACGAATGAGGATATTTCTGAACATCCTTACTAAATTCAAAGTGGTGGAGGACCGTGAGCGTGTGTTTCTGGCCAGGAATTGTTCTGAAATTGCGTGAGGTTAGATTTTCATTAACAGCTGGAAGAAGGTGCTGAACATGTTGGCATTTCAGGATTGTCAGCTACAAAATTGGTGAGACTTCATTCCCCTCTGAATACGAAACTGAAAACCCATCAACCGTACACCTTAAAAACGTAAAGCATATTCATTTGGCAGCTTAAAAATGAACGGTTCTGATGTACAAGAGATACCTGGAAGGGATGATGCTTCTCAAAAGTATTTTGGACTCTGTGTAATCTGAAATTATATTTGCATGTATTTCGAATGGTGATCTGAATCTGAAAAGGATCTCTAGAAACAGTCCACAAATGATTTCAGTTTTGTGACCCAGACTTCAGGGGTTAAATGATGAGAGATTATGCAAATTAGGCCTGTTTTCTCTCCTCTAGAATTTAGGAGGTGAAGAGGCGATTTGATTGAAATCTTCAAAATATACTATGTTTAAGTGAATCGAGGGTTATGGGGGAACGGCAGGAAAGTTGAGGATTATCGCATCAGCCGTGATCTCACTGAAAGGTGGAGCACACTTGATGGGATGATCTTATGGTGCCTTCAGTCACTCCCTTCAATATTCCCCAAAATTCCATGAGGAAATGCCCTTCGTCTAAACAGGAACAGGAGGAGACCATTCAGCCCTTCGAACCTCTTCTGCCAGTGTCCATGCCCGAACTGTACCCTGACTCCGTTCACTTTCCCCGGTTCCTTAACCCTCAATACTCCCATTGAACAAAAATCAACCACCTTTGTTTTCACTATTTAATTGAGGCCTGAGTCTCGATAGTGTTTTTATTGGGAGGGTTCCACGTTGCCCTTTGCATTCTGACATCACTCGTGTTTTGATGGGGATTTGGGAGAGGTTTGTGAAGAATGTTTAAGGATTTAAAACAGCAGGGACTCGGGGTGTAGGTGTTTATATTTTTGAAAGGCGACTTCACAAGGAGTGACAGTCCTCCAGGAATAAAACACTGTGTCACTATTTACTGACTGTCAACTGAGCCACTTAGAGAATCCGAGAATTGTAAGGTTTGAGGATGGAACTGGCTGGGTCGCTCTTTCTGGTTTCTACAGACAGAGTGGGCTGAAATGGCCTCATTTGAATCCAGTCACAATATTATTCAGTGATAAGACGGTGTAGAGCTGGATGAACACAGCAGGCCAAGCAGCATCAGAGGAGCAGGAAGGCTGATGTTTCAGGCCTAGACCCTTCTTCAGAACATGTTATAATATTATTATATTATTATAATATTATATTACAATATTATTCAGTCGTTCATGTCAGAGCCTGGAGTAATGTTGCTTGTTTCTTCAACAGAAATACCTCAAGTTCCACTTATTCATTCCATAGCTTAGTAAAGTAACTGGGCAACGTGCATTTGTGTAGCACCTTTCAAATTCCTCAGCACATGGTAAAGTGTTTAGCAGCCAATGCAATGATTTGGGAACGACATTGATTGTTGTACTGTGGGAAATGCAGCAGCCAGATTAGGCACAGCAAGATCCCACAAACAGCAAAAGGATAATGTGTGATGAGGTTTTTTTTAGTCTTGATGGTTATGGAGAAGTATGACCCATGGCCACTGGGTTTAATGCCAACTATATTCCATCAGAATATCGGTCCTGGGATCTGTAACGTCGACCTGACTGGGCAGGTGGGATCTCAGTTTAACGTCGAGTATTAAAGGCTGACCCTCTGACAACGCACCACTCCCCCCAGCGCTGACCCTCCGACAGCATGCCTCTTCCCCTGGTGCTGACCCTCAGTGCGCCTCTCCCCCTGGCGCTGACCCTCCGACAGCGCGCCACTCCACCCGGCGCTGACCCTCCGACAGCGCGCCACTCCACCCGGCGCTGCAGTGAGAGTGTCATCTTGTGGGATGGGTGTGGAACTTTGGTGCTGTCCCTGTCCTGGGGGGATGTTTGATGGGGAACAGGGGGGCGGTGGTCATGAACACTTAATGGTAAGGTCCTGGGGCATGTTGCTGAACAAAGAGACCTTGGAGTGCAGGTTCATATTTCTTTGAAAGTGGAGTCACAGGTGGATAGGATAGTGAAGAAGGCTTTTGGTACGCTTGCCTTTATTGGTCAGTGCATTGAGTATAGGAGTTGGGAGGTCATGTTGCAGCTATACAGGACATTGGTTCGGCCACTTTTGGAATACAGTGTTCAGTTCTGGTCTCCCTGCTATAGAAAGGATGTTAAGCTAGAAAGGGTTCAGAAAAGATTTACAAGGATGTTGCCAGGGTTGGAGGGTTTGAGCTATAGGGAGAAACTGAATAGGTTGGGGCTATTTTCCCTGGAGGCTGAGGGGTGACTTTATAGAGGTTTATAAAATGTTGAGGGGCATGGATAGGGTAAATAGATAAGGTCTTTTCCCCAAGATAGGGGAGTCCAAAACTAGAGGGGCATAGGTTTAAGGTGAGAGGGGAAAAATATAAAAAGGATCTAAGGGGCAGCTTTTTCAAGCAGGGTGGTGCGTGTATGGAACGAGCTGCCAGAGGAAGTGGTGGAGGCTGGTACAATTACAACATTTAAAAGGCATCTGGATGGGGACATGAATAGGAAGGGTTTAGAGGGATATGGGCCAAAGGCTGGCAAATGGGACTCGATTAATTTAGGATATCAGGTTGGGATGGACGAGTTGGACCCAAGGGTCTATTTCCGTGCTGTACAGCTCTATGTGAGTAAGTGGTGGTGTCGCCCTGACTGTTGGCTCTGTGTGTGTTTTGTTGCAGTTTGTCCGTTCCGATGCCCAGCAGATACACGAGCGTCGCCGTGCCATGTTGAACAAGAACTGTGCTGCCCACAATAAGTTGAGCCATAAACGGCGGATCCTGAACGCTGGTGACCTGCGACACCTCATTGTCGACGACCAGCATGGGCTCCTGTACTGCTACGTGCCGAAGGTGGCATGTACCAACTGGAAGAGGGTGATGATGGTACTGACCGGGAGTGGCAAGTACACTGACCCCTTGACCATCCCGGCCAGTGAGGCTCACGTGGCCTCGAACCTGCGCACTCTGGATAGCTATGGCACTGCCGAGATCAACTACCGGCTGAGGAACTACCTCAAGTTCATCTTTGTCCGCGAGCCCTTCGAGCGCCTGCTCTCCGCCTATCGGAACAAGTTCACCCGCAGGTACAACACGGCCTTCCACAAACGCTACGGGACGAAGATCATCCGAGAGCACCGGCATAACCCCAGCCCCGAGGCTTTGAGACATGGCGCTGACGTCACCTTCCAGGAGTTTGTGTGGTACCTGGTGGACCCCAAGACTAGGAGGGAGGAGCCCTTCAATGAGCACTGGGAGACCGTTTACTCTCTGTGCCACCCCTGTCTGATCCGCTACGATGTGGTGGGCCACTACGAGACCCTGCTGCAAGACGCCCGTTACCTCCTGGACCTGGTCGAATCTGACCATCGCATCACGTTCCCCTCGTCCAATGTGTCGTCACGGACCACTGATGACCTGACGGCCACCTTCTTCAAAAAGATCTCGCCGTTTTACCAGAGGAAGTTGTATAAGTTATACAAACTGGACTTCACCCTCTTTAACTACTCTGTCCCTTCCTACTTGAGCCTACACTGACCCAGCGGGGGGGTCCTTCCTGTTGCCACAGTGGGCTTCAGGGATTTGCAGCTAAAACAGAGGCATGACAACAGACCCTTCGGCCCATCGTCTGAGGAACGGTCACCGGACCCGAAACGTTAACTTCTGACTTTTTTTTTCTTCACAGATGCTGCCAGACCGTCTGAGCTTTTCCAGCAATTTCTGTTTCTGTTCCTGATTTTACAGCATCCGCAGTTCTTTCGGTTTTTCTCCGGCCCATCGTGTCTGCCAATGATTCTCATCCCATCCAGCCTTGTGTTCAAAAATGTCTCAAATGCTCAGCTAAATTGTTTTTTTTAAGTTGATTCACAGGATGAGGGTATCGCTGGCCAAGCAGCATTTATTGCCCATCCCTAATTGCCCAGAGGGCAGTTAAGAGCCAAGCACATTGCTGTGGTTCACATGTAGGCCAGACCAGGTAAGGATGGCAGTTTCCTTCCCTAAAGGATGTCCGTGACCCGGGTGGGTTTTTCCAACAATCAACAGTGGATTCCTGGTCGTTTTTAGACTCTTAATTCCAGATTATTTTTTTGAATTCAAATTCCACCATCTGCCGTGGTGGGATTCGAACCCGGGACCTGGAACATTAGCTGGGTCTCTGAGTTAACAGTCCAGTGATAACGCCACCGGCACTGCTGACCTTGGCAGAGTCACTGGCCAATCGGGTTGGTGACTCTGAGGTGTGACCTCCTCCTGAGTGATGAACGGATGTTCCTCAGGTCTCGCTCCTCAGGGGAGGGGAGTATGTTCCCCGGTCACATGTTAGGCCAGACAGCTAAAAACCAGCCCCCAACCACTCGGCCTTTCTTCCACAACCTTGTCATTTATTCCCCTCCAAACACGCGTCCAATCCCACAGGAATAAGAATGCAAAAACTAGGAGCAGGAGGAGGCCATTCAGCCCCTCAGACAATCAATGCTGGCCAAGCCACGCACTCATCCTGTGACCAATGTAAATAACAGTGAGATACTGTGACTAAGACGGAGTTATTAAACCTCAGTGCTGTGTTTAATATAAGATCATCAGGGCTAAGAACAGGAGGAGGCCATTCAGCCCCTTGAGCCTGCTGTGTCATTCAAAACCATCATGGCTGATCTCATCTCACCACAACTCCTCTTTCCTGCCCTTTCTCCATAACCTTTCACCCCATCACTGATTAAACATCTGTCTATCTCCTCCTTTAAATTTCCTCAAAGTCCCAGCACCCACCACGCTCTGGGGGAGTGAATTCCACAGATTCATGGCCCTTTGAGAGAAGTCATTCCTCCCCATCTCTGTTTTAAACCTGCTACCCCCTTATCCTAAAGCCATAACCTCTCGTTCTAGGTTGCCCCACATGAAGGAATATCCTTTCTACGTCTACTTTGTCAATCCCCTTTAGCATCTTATGGACCTCAATGGGATCTCCTCTCAATCTTCTAAACCCCAGAGAGTATGGGCCTAAACTGCTCACTGTCTCCTCATCAGGCAAGCCCCTCATCCCTGGAATCGATCTGTGAACCTCCCCTGAGCTGCCTCCAATACAACTACACCCCTCCCCGGGGAAGGGGACCACCACAGTACACAATACTCTGGGTGTGGCCTCACTAATACCTTGTA